TCGTTTAACACACACACACACACACACACACACACACACACACACACCACACACACACACACACACCACACACACACACACACACACACACACACCACACACACACACACACACACACACACACACACACACCACACACACACACCACACACACACACACACCACACCCACACACACACACACACCACACACACACACCACAGCTGTCATAGAAAAAAGAACCCCATAAATCAGTTATATGTTTATGAACTCCCTACAAAACTTCCCCATTAAATATTTTACGGTTATGCCCCTACCTTAAAAAATCCCGATGTGCTGGGGACTTCACCGAATGCAAACCGATAATTCGTATGGGTAATGTGAATTTTCTAGTTGGTTAAATACATATAAACCTCCATTTGGGCCTAGTTGGTACATACATATTCCTGAGGTAAACGTAGCAGAGCATACAAACGGTATGCCCCACATGTGTTTGTCATGTCTTTTCTATGCAGACCATCCGGTGCGTTTGCACTGCTACTTTAGCGAGTACCTTAGCCACTAGATACTAGGGCCTACAACATTTCCGCATCCATCGGAAATGCAGCCGCCGCAGCCGGGAATCGAACCCCGCGACCTGCGGGTCAGCAGCCGAGTACCTTAGCCACTAGATCAGGTAAATGATTATAATAGTAACTACACATTTCTTATTTTGCAGCTAGTCATGCCGCCGTTTCTTATAGCGCGACTGAATACCTAGCTGACGGATCATGAACCAGTTATTTATTTGCAGCAACTATTGCTTAAGACGAAAAAATGTTCTTTTCTTTTCCATGTCCTCAGAGTGCAGCCTTGTCCTCCGGCATCTTAGAGGCGATAGTGCAATTAAACGCTGATAATGCGTTTAGCATGTCTGAAAGAACTATTGCCTCTGCTTGCAAGTACTCAAACACGCTGTGCTTATTGAGTAAAATAAATGAAATATTATGAGCTCTCTTCACGACAATAACGCTTGTTGGGGATGCGTAAGACTTCAGACTCAGGGAAGGTTGCTGGAGGGTCTTATTTTACTACGCGACCCTAAACAAAAGGCCCCACGTACGTTTGAGGATACAAGAGGTTTTTCCGAGCAGCTTGTCTCGCTGGGAACCGGAAGTAGACTCCAGTTGGTTTGATGACGCTCTCCCGCCTCCAAGGCGATCACGTGACCTGGCCACGGCTTCCCCGACGCCAGCCAGTGGAGTCGAAGGCCGAAAATTAGCGACGCTTGGTTCGAAAGCAAGATGCGGGATTACAGGCAAACACCTCTCGCCTCCCGTAACCATTCTAGGGAAGAATGGTGGTCTGTTCTCCATCAGTTTAACGACCAACATGGCTGGTGGTCTTCGGCTCGTGGGGTGCGAGGAAACGGCGTGAAGGCATCCAGAGCTGCAACATCGATATATCTCCGAGAGTTCCGCGAACCTGCTGTCACGCAACACTTCCCGAAAAATAGCAGACAACAGTTCTCTTCAAAACATTGATACAGAGAATCTCATCGGGTAGGGCCTACTAGAACAAGTGGGGAGTTTTCATATCAGGATTTATTATCTGATTAAAAATAATTTGCTACCGGAATACCAATTACTTGCCTAATTATCTAAGCTCACACGTAAAATTGTTTGCTACATTGAAAAGCATCGGGTCCAATTTTTTATAGCTCTCTACATCCTTTGCAGCCTTTTTATTTCGGCTGCATTTCCGATGGAGGCGGAAATTCTGTAGGCCCGTGTACTCAGATTTGGGTGCACAGTAAAGAACCCCAGGTGGTCGAAATTTCCGGAGCCCTCCACTACGGCGTCTCTCATAACCATATGGTCGCTTTGGGACGTTAAACCCCACATATCAATCAAAGCCTTTTTATTTTGCGTTTCATTATGTGGTACAAAACGTGAACAACGGTGCCAACTAAAGGGATAGATGGACGGATGGTTGTATACAGCTGTGCCCTTTAGATCGGGCGGTGGCTCACGCCACCTAGCCATAAAGTTAAGTACTATCACTGTGTGTTTAAGGATTGAATTTCACTCGCGCCTCGATTGTAGCCACCAATCAGTTAGTCTCCTCCCAGTTATTTCTACCCGTTTATAGTCTATTTTGCCTTCACTGTCCCTAAACCCCAATGATTTGAAAAATTCGGCGTCATTGTCTTGGACTATAGGGGGGAGCCCTTTACAGAACATTATCAAATGTTCAGCCGTTTCCTCCTCCTCTCCACGCACTACATACCGTGTCTGTGCCTTCGTATTTTGCTCGGTACGTCTTGGTCCGCAATACTCCCGTTCTAGTCTCGAAGAGTGGACAACTACCCCGAGAATTATCGTAGATTTTTTCCCTTGCAATTTCCTGCTTAAAAGTTCAGTAGGTCTCCAGTGATGATTTCGGAAGCATTCCCATCTTCCACATGTTCCTCTCTGTTTCATTCACCTTCATCTTAACCATTGTTTTCTTTTGGCTTGGTATTCTGCTGTTGTCTAAACTCTTGCTCGACAATTTTCGAGTTCGTTTCCTCCATTTAGTATCGACATTCTTTATGTACAAGTGACTGAAAACTTTCCTAGCCCAACGATCTTCTCACATTTTTCTCAATCGCTCCTCAAATTCTATCTTGCTGCTAGTTCTCCTGACCTCAAACGGTGTCCATCCCATGTCTCGCTGCACCCCCTGATTTGGGGTATTCATTTGAGCTCCCAAAGCAAGTCTACTTATGCCACGTTGTTTAATTTCCCATCTTGCTTAAACTTCTGATTTCATGCACAAGACCGCATTGCCAAGCGTCAAACCCGGGACTATGACGCCTTTCCAAATCCCTCTCACAACGTCATACCTATTTTAGTTCCATAGTGCCCTATTTTTATAAAGGGCTTTTATAAAAAGCAGCGCCCTCTAAAGGGGCTTTATAAAACTAAATTTATTCAGCGGTTCATTTGATGACCGCGTTAAATTTACGCGGTGGTAGTTTAGGTGTTGCGGTTGCGGCAACGAGCAAGCGGCCGCTGTTTTGACAGCTGTGCATTGACGCTTATAGAACGATGATAATGCGAAGTACTTCGAATCCCCTTTCGAGAGCCTTGCTATCGGTCGTGCAAGAGGTGCGCACACGCGTCTATACGTATCGCTGGTGTTGCGCCGCGAAAGTGCACAACCTTGAAAATCGAGAAATCAAAACAAGACTGGGAAATACGTAACCAGCAGGAAACAAGGAATGCTTGTGCTTTAGAAAGTAATGCACGCTTTCACGTACGTACTTGTGCATTTATACATTTTAAAATGAGGGTAACATTTCTTAACACTTTTGGCAAGTAATTCTAACGAGAATTCGATCAGTTAGAGCAAGATGGTCACTAAAAAAAAAACAGCGTTCGTCCTATTGTATGTGATCACCCCTCAACCACCCCTCCTTTTCTCTCTCTCTCTCTCTCTCTCTCTCTCTCTCTCGAGTGAGCTTGGCGTTTTGTTGGCTGGGACATATTGCCGATATTTCTCAATTCGATCTACAACCTTTCTATGTTAAGATATGAGAACTTTTTTCTGTTACTTTCTCATAATAAATAATTAGAAACAAAATGAAAGTAATCTGAGCAACTAAAGTGCACAATCGATTGATTATTGATTTATATGTGGGTTATAACGTCTCAAAACCACCATATGATTATTAGAGACGCCGTAGTGGAGGGCTCCGGAAATTTCGACCACCTGTGCTTCCTTAACGTGCAACGAAACCTGCACTCATGGGCCTACAGAACTTTCGCCTCCATCGAAAATGCAGCTGCCCGCGCCGGGATTTGACCCCGCGACCTGCGGGTCAGCAGCCGAGTACCACAGCCACTACAGACCTCCGTGGGGGGGGGGGGGGGGGGCAATGTCACAATCGACAATATTGCGTCGGTTTTATTGACATAGTACGCGCTCACTCCGTTTAGCGTTAAGACTACACAGAAGTTAGCTCAAACATATTTTATATACGCTAAAGACAATTAGGAACCAGAAATTAAAAGATGACTTAATAGCATTATCTTCGACTTAAGTAGCACTGCGAAAAAGCAAGCTAGAATAAATTGAAATATTAGAACAAATATTTGATAGACATAATTAAGTTGATTATTGTGCTTCAGATGCAAGTACCGATTAATTACCGATTGATACGAGGGGTTTAACGTCTCAAATCCACCATATGATTATGAGAAACGTCCAAATGCAAGAACTAATCCAGGAAGGAAAGAAATTTTCGTGATGTGTAGAATTAGTTTTTTTATAGTTTCTAACAATTCACACAAATTACGACAACGCCTAACGATAACAATAACGCAAGCTACGCATTTCCGCTTGCATATCTTTTTCGGAATCATGCAGCGAATGTGGGAAGCATGCAAGGCATCAAATATTTCATGCTGTCTTCAAACGACTTTATGATGGCAAAAAACATATATTTTGACTCAATTCCAGAGAAGCGTCTGCAGGTATAACGTGTTAAATATAGCGTATCACATTACGAACAACCTTCTTCTTGATTCGATTCTGCCTAAACGAGTGCACTCAGTATAAAGTTAGCACAGCAAATGTCCCAGTGAACCATGGCACTGCATCGCGATTACTTCTATCAGGATGGTTTGAACACCGTTTCGCTTTATTGGACAAAACACGCCCACCCACGTGTTGCACCTCAGCCAAAGTGAGTACACTGTTCGAAAAGTATACACGATAAAGTACGAAATAGGAAAGTGTTGCACGCGTGCATGCCGCGCAATACACCCTTGCACCACTACGGAACTGCCGATGCCTCTCGATATCTGGGTGCTGACGTATTCTCATACCCTGCGCTATCTTCGTCGTCATGGCGACCGCGATATGGCATGGAAACTGTTCTGCCTTTTCCGCCGCCAGCGTGCAACGCCTGCCAACACCCAGAATCAGGCATAGCTTTTTGCGGTGAGTATTTTCGTCAGGATTTCGTTAAACTTGGGCCTGTTGCAGAACTAATGGTTTTGGTGTGCTTCTTGCGTTTTGGAGCGTGTCGAGCACGACGGAATTTTATGCGTGAAAGGCAACGTAGTTTCAGAATGCGCGGTGGTTTGAACGCTAAGGCAGAAGGAAGACGAAAAGCACCGGTTGTGTCGGTCCTCTTTCTTGTGTCTTTGTGGTGAATATGTTCTCTTCCTTAGACATGAGTGTTTATTCCATTGTAGTGTACTATCGTGCATGCTTGTCTGGTTAATCTGTAGCCATAGGTCTGTTTTTTTACGAAGTTTCATATTGTGCCTATTACTTGCACGAAGGTGAAAGACAGGAGTACAACCACCCTTTGTTTTTTTTTTTTAGACTGGAACACCGATTATCGACTGCCGAGTCTGTACACGCCTGTTCCAGATAGGACTGGTGTCCGGTTCGCGGCACAGCCTAGCCGAAGACAGCTGCACAGGTCGGTTCATCGTGGGCATGCACGTACTCCCGTTCATTTCACTGCTGTGATCAACGTTATAGGTCGCGTATCGACTGGGTGGTTGACTATTGTGCGTTTAGGTTCGAAAAAAAATTGGCAGTTGCACACAATGGTGCCTGTTTAACAGCCATGAACTGTTGGAGGCAACAAGAAATTATGCCTCGATATGTTCAAGGCAAGAATAATTTTTAAGAAAGCCATATTTGAGTATTGCAAAAGCCGAAGCTGCACCTTCGAGTCAGTCTTGTTAACAGGGTGCTCGAACCATGAAAAATATATATGTCGGAATGGAGTGCCCTGTGTAGCATTCATTTTACTTGTTTTCCTGTTTCCGGTGCAGAAAATACGATAAATTGTGCGCACGGCTCTGACAGAGCGATAGCGGCTGTTGCAGATAAGTGAGTCATCGGGCCCTTTCACATGCAAGAAATGAAAATGAAAGAAGTGTACTGTTTGTTATGTAGATCTTGGGATGGTTCTTTTTAGACTTTCTTTTTCTACTTCGCTTTTTTACTTACGCTGCAGCCAAGTTATCTCCTTCCTCTCAATCGCAGATCAAAGTGCTGACTATTCAAATAACCAATCCTTATGTGAGATAATGGGATCCGTCAATATTGCCGCTTTCGTTGATTAATGGTTCTGCTTTCTTAGGTTTATTTTTTAATCACGTCGTTAATGTCTACTTCGACGGTTTTAAGTCCACCGCGGGGGTGTAGCGGTTACGGCGCTCTGCTGCTGATCGGGGTTTGATGCCGGCCGCGGATGGAGGCGAATGCTACAGGCTCGTGTACTGTACGATGTGAGTGCACCACCGAAGGCTGAAAATTCCGGAGCCCACCACTACAGCATCACTCAGTACTATGGTGCGATTTTTGGGCATTGAACCCCAAATAATATACTTATAACATCATCATCATCAGTCGTAGTAGCAGCAGTAGTAGTAGTAATAGTTGCATTTGACATCTATAAGTTATTTGGCTGTTTATTTTTCCAAACTTTTATGCAAAAAATTATGGTATTGCTATGCCTGTGATTTATTTTTACGAACATATTGTGCTGTTCATGTCCGTAGTAGTAAACAGATAAAACTTGTCATAAGACTGATAACAGATGTTCATAAATATTCTTGTAACACATTTTCGCAGTATATGTCCGTCCAGAAAATACGACAAAATGTTGTCAAAAGCATCTTGCCTCGTCGTTTCGAATGTGCCACTTATTTGAAGCCCTGTAGCGGCGCTCCTGGTGTAACATAGTAATTGCATTACGCCATGGTGACCGCTTGCTTATACAGTCTGTAAACGTCCATGCTGAAGGGACAATCACACGAGATTTTTTCACTCCGTCCTGGCTCTTCCGTCTGCTTTTCAATACTTCAGCTAAGACACGCAATTGAAGAAAGTGTTTCAAATGCAAAGCATTTCTTTGCGCACTGTAGGAGCACCACATGGCTTAACAAGCGGCACATGTTGAACAATGAGACAAGCTGCTTTGGCAACAATTCGCCGCATTCTCTGGACGAATACATACCACCAAAACGCGTCACAAAAATATTTATCAAAATCTGCTATAAGTCAGTTATCACTTAAGTTATATCGCTTTACTGCACACAAACCTTAACAGCACAATTTCTTTCGTGTCTGTCTGCCTGTATGTCTATCTAATCTTTCCATTAGTTCTCCAGGCCGTTTCGTTACTTATATCGATACCAAAATTGGTATTACGTAACATAAGTGCATGACGATCATAAGCAACTAGTTATAGCATGAAAATCGTGACATGTATGTCATGATTTACATTTCATGGTCTTGCTGCTCTTGCGGTGGTGTCGTTCACATAACATACTGCAAGAGTGATATAGTATAACATGACTGCAAGGCGAACATAAGTGACAGACTCTAACGTAGAAATCGTGACATGCATGTCATGTAAATCATGACTACACGCCACGCTCATTGGACGCTCGTGGTCATTTCGCTAGATTCACATGTAACAAATTTGGTGTTACGTGACGTCACTGGATTACGAAAGTGTTATGACAAGTGCAAAAATTATAATCATGAGATGCGTTTCATGTATTCGATATGTGGGGTTTAGTGTCCTAAAACCACCATATGGATATGAGAGGCACCGTGGTGGAGGGCTCCGGAAATTACAATCACCTGGGATTCTTTAACGTGCACCCGAATCTGTGCACACGGGCCTACAACATTTTCGTCTCTATCTGAAATGCAGCCGCCACAGCCGGGATTCGATCCTGCGACATGCGGGTCAGCAGCTGAGTACCTTAGTCACTAGACCATCGTGGCGGAGCATGCGTCTCATATAAGAACATGACTACATGCCATGCTCACGATGCACTCGCGGCCGTTTCACTGGCTTCACATATACCAAATTTGGCATTACGTGACGCGAACGGACGACGAAGGTAAATGACATGAGCAGACATAATAATTAAGAAATGCGTGTCATGTGAAACATGACTACATGCTACGTTCATTGTGCTTTCGCGGTTCTTTCGCTAGCTTCACACATACCGAATTTGTTATTACGGGACGTGAATGAATGACGAATGTATATGAGTGGTGCAAACATGATAGTCATCACATAGAAGTCATCTACGCCATAATTTACGACCACCTCGTAACGGTGTGCTGATCTTGAAGTGTCATATCAACCTTCCTTATCCGTGCTTCGCGTATCATCGATTCCCACTGTACGTGAGATCTGTCATTTTTTCCTGATCGGAATGTTTGGATATCATTATACTTGTCCATGTGATATTTGGCCTTCGATTTAACATTTTTAAACATATTACCACTTGGTGATTTTTATAGGTCCAATTGGTGCTTCATATAGGACAGTTACGGGTATGACTAACTACATATTTTGAATTTATATAATGTTATTTATTATCCAATAGAGAGAAATGCGCCAGGTTTGAGGTTGACCTAATGATTAATCGAGTTTCATAGTGAAACTTATAAATGGGAATTGGCTAAGGTTCCTTTATACCAGATATGGTTCTAATAGAAATTCCACCAATTGATTACAATTGAACTTTGCTCACTGCCAATTGGTTTCAACTGGACATCACAGAAATTAGTAAACCTGTTGAACAAGAAAAACAGTTCGCAGAAAAAGGTTTGCAATTACATTACCCTGAAATATAATATCTTTACGTTTTAATATTACACACAACGAGTGTCATTTATTTCATCTGTTCGCTTTGCAGTCGGCCTCAAGATTACCCTATTGTTATTGAACCCGGCACAACTCGCTAAGCTGAAATTCCTGACATGTCGAGTGAGGTTATATTTAGAGATGAACATAACATATGTGGAGAAATTTTTCATTGAAGGTGGCCTTCAATAATGCTAAGTTCATTAAATCTAACGACATGGTTTCTTAATTTTGATGCATCTTCGTTGAGATTAACAAACCAGACCCTAAATAAGAGCTCGACGGTATTTCCATTTGGCGAGATTTATCTGACCAATCGACCTAATCGGGCAAACCTTTTTGATTATATATTTATGCTACCGATTGTTTGCGTTGGTTAGTCCCATCAACACAATAGATAAATATAATATAAATTCAATGTTTTGTTTATTGTGTGAACTGGGATCACCTGCTAGTCTCATTGGTCGATTCATATGGATGTTGATTGTGCTACCATTTGGCTATAATGGTCAGACCCATTCAAACCTAAAAGGACGACTCATTGAAATTTTTCAACTGGTGTCCGAAAACGCAATTCAGAACTTCTAATTGGCTCCGATTGGAAATGTCCTAGTGGTTTCAATGGGATCCAATTGAAAATTTCCAATTGGTCAGGGTAAATTTTTCAGACTGGAGAATGGTTACATAAAACATATGCGGCAGTTAAACATATGTCTGTGCATGCATTAGTAAAATCTTTAGCGCTACCTAGTAACGTTTCGCTCAATGAAAAAAATATAACACAGTCACCTTCCATTCGCATGCTACGCATAATCATGGGATCTACCAAATTTTTCGTAGCTGTCATTTTAGTATTTGCTGTAATTGCTCAGGATAACGAAATATTGATATAACGAAAACTGGAATGCACTAAAGTGATATCTGCATTACGCATTTGTTGATTCTTTTTTTATACAGGTTACTGAAACCATAATGGTGGAGTGTTTCAAACCAGGCTGCGGAGGCGTGCTAAGACCAAGGAGCAGTGCAAGCGTGGCGGTTTGTCCAGAGTGCCGCTCAGTGAACTGTTTAAGGTGCTACGCCACCCACGATGGATTGTCATGCAAGGAATACAAGAAGAGCATTGGGGCTGATGTCACACCAACTCCAACAGCTGCCAGCCGAGGGCGCAATACATCGGTTGGTTTTTTTATCTGGCTTGCATGCGAAATTTCTGCCATGCACGACACCGAAATGCCGAAATGCTAACAATGAACTACTTACATAATGGCTCTTTATGTTGCGACTCCGACAATAATTAAAGGGATACTAAAGTCAAATAACAATTAGTAAGAGTGAAAGATTAATGTATGACAACGTCTAAAACGACAATATATCCCTAGCACTGCCCTACTTACCAAAAAATTCATGCAAATGCACAAGAGCACATGCGCCGTGAGTAAGACATCCGAAAAATTATCCCGATCACGCCACACTTACCACCTACAATTATTCACTAGTCATCAAACTAGCTGCACTATGTAAATGACCTTCCATTCATCAAGTGGCGTAAAAATGCTGTTTGTTTCCGTTTGATTCACGGAAAAAAGAACCGCTGGACATTGCCGGGGGGGGGGGGGGGGGGGGGGGGGGGCACAAGTGGTTGAAAAGTTCGAATTAGTCTGGTTAAACTGGACAGGTCATGCCATCTAGCGGATCCCAGTTGAGCTAAGCACGCCTGTCATCTCGGAGGCCGTGGCAGAAAATTGTTTAATGGCCGTTGTTGCTGCTGCAGATACCGCTACTTTCGTTCTGCTGCCACTACAGTGTCGGCGGCCACGCAGTAAAGCTGGGCAACTTTGTGTGTGGCAACAGTGACGCGAAAAGTTCAGGTAATTTGAAGTGCGCGAACGCGATGTGGACAACTACAACGTGATTTTATTTCAAAATAAGCACCTCCTTAAAACAAAAGTAGCACCACGAGGATTTGGAACGCTATTTCGGCAATCAACATCGACCTAATATTTGACTTTAGTGGCCCTTTAAGCTTGTCAAGGATCTGCGTCCCGAATGGGGATGCTAAAATGCATAAAGAACAATGCATGTGATAAAGTTAACGCATGTCGTAAATATTTATATATTTCTGATCAACTTTTGCTACAACAATAAGTAAATCCTTTTTGTAAAACGAGGTCTAAAATGACGAGTTTTAACTTTTGGTGCCAGTATGCATCATGTGTCACGTTCACTTGCATTTTCACATTTTTTTTACATCAGCCATAAAACCTAAACGGTTAACGAAGCGAGAAAAAACAGCGTGTAACCCAGGACAGTGACAAAGACGGACGAAGCGCTTCGTCCGTATCTGCCACTGTCCTGTGTTACGCATTGTTTTTAAAGACGATAGTCTTTCTTGGGGACCTTTGACGCAAAAATTTTGGTCTGTCTGTCTGTACACTTGTCTGTTTGTCCACTTTTAACGGCACCGAGTACTTGAAACGGCTTACCCCATCCGCAGCGACCACCAGTGTTGCTCAAGTTTTAGCGTTCATACTTGTGCAATTGTCAATTAATAAGCAATTATTGCGCAAGTCTGGGGCACCATAACGACATGTATGTATTCTGCATGTGCATCTTAAGAAAAGGCATAATTAAGTAATTTTAAGGACCAAAGCGCTTATCACGCTGCGTTGACCCTGCAACGCTTGTACGGAAAGGTGAGTGTTTCCAACGCTTTGCTAAGACGCGATGGTGGTGGCACCTACCCGTCGCCTTGCATTCTACACCTTATCACTTCTGAGATGGGCACTCACACCCGTCTCAGAGCCACGTTCTTCGTTTTCTAAGAACACTGACAGGTGGCGCTCATGTCTCACGTGTGACTTGACTTGATGCACTCGTTCGCCTCCGCTGCACGTTCGAGGCACTTTAACGCAGCGCCTCCAAAACACCATTCTCCGATTTTCTTGCGCAGAACATCAAATAAATTGTTCGCTACGGTCCTTAAACTATCGCTACGGCAAGACTATCATCTTTCGACGACATTTGCAGATTACATGCAGATGCGGGGCCATTTTTTTTCACTTTGTTTATCATGTACCAACCTGCTACAATAAGCACTGTAGTTAAGTGGTTAACTAAATGATTGGGCTACAATTATGAAGTCGTTCATATTTTTATACCTGACGTTATTATAAACGTTTCTCGCAGTTACTCTCCTATATATTGTGAATCTGACAGTACCGGGACCAAAACTCGTAATGTTCTCGGTAAGTTATGGGCTTTATTAGTCTAAAGATGTAAGACGTCTGATCAAACTAAATTTACAGTGAACTTGGAGCACCTTGCATATACTATACGTATGGCAATTTTACTCTCTGCTGCTGCTGGGCTGCGAAGTTATTGGGTGGTGACTCCAGACATATTGCAAATTTACGTTGCTTTATCATTGAGCTTTTATGAACATACTAGCGTGCGTGCACGAAACTATGACGTCATCATGATACAATTTCAAACATAAAATTATTAGTGTCATGATCATCAGCAGCAGCTTGACTACGCCCACTCCAGGGCAAAGGCATCTCCCATGATTCGCCAATGAACCCGTTGTTGTCCTTTCCGTTCCCACGTTATGCCTGCAAAATTTATCTCATCGGCCCAACCAACCTTCTGTCTCCTCATCGTGCTTTTGCCTTCTCTGGAATTCTGGTCAGTTATCCTTAATGACTATCGGTTATCCTGCCTACGAGCTACGTGCCTGGCCCGTGCCCATTTCTTCTTCTCGATGTTAACTATGATATCATTAACCCCAGTTTGTTCCCTGACCCACTCTGCTCTCTTCTTTTATCTTAACGTTACACAATAGTTTTCCTCTCCATCGCTCACTGCGTCGTTCCCTCTTTGTAAGCATCCAGGTTTCTGCTTCATAGGAAAGCACCGGTAAGATGCAGCAATTATATACCTTCTTTTTGAGGGTTAATGGCAGATTACCATTCATGATTTCAGAATGCTTGCCGAATGAGATCCACCCCATCCTTACAATTCTAGTTATTTCATAATTAGTGTCATTTCATGAAGTGCTGCGCAATAAAAAATTGCAACATGGTCACCTTCTGTTCAGATGCTTCGCATAACGTCGATTTTCAGGTACGTGGGATCTGCCAATTTTTTTCACTATCATGGTTTAATTCCACGGTTACTACCTGTCCTAAGTAGTCATAATCTTTTACAACTTTCAAGGTCTCTCCACCAATTGCAAAGTGCTGTTTTCTGTCTAGACTGTTGCGCATTACTCCAGTTTTATGCATTTTCAGACCTACTCTACTGCTTTTTGTGTCCATTTCAGTACATTTCAGTAATCATGAGCTGTATTTTGTGCCCTGAGTTAATCAAGACATTGTCATCAGCAAACCGCAGCTTACTAAGGTACTCTTCAATAACTCTTATTCTTAACTCTTGCGTATCTAGGGATTTGAAAACTCTGGTAAACACGCTGTGAATAGCATTAGAGAGATCGTGTCTCCTTTCCTTGCACCCTTCTTTAGTGAGATTCTGCCGCTTTCTTTATAGAGAACTATGGTGGCTCCCACTGTAGATTTATTCCAGTATGTTCATGTACGGTTCGTCAATGCCCTGATTTTATAGTACCTGAATAACTGCTGATGTCTCGAATGTGTCAAATGCCTTCTCGTATTCTATGAAAGTTATGTATAGGGGTTGGTTGTATTCCTCGCATTTTTCTATTGCCTGATTGATAGTATGAATATGGGCTATTGTGGAGTAGCCTGTATTAAATTGTGCTTGACTTTTTGGTTTATTAAATTAACTCTTATGTCGCCCTATTTTGTTAGCTATTATTTTTGTAAATATTTTGTAGAATATGGACAGCAAGCTGATCAACCTGTAAATTTTCAAGTCCTTGACGTCTCCTTTCTTATGAATTAGAATGATGTTGACGTTATTCCAAGATTCTGGTACCCTTCCCGTCAAAAGAGACTTTGTATATAAGGTGGCCAGTTTTTCTAACGCAATTTCTCCGCCATTTTTCGGGAGGTCCGTTGTTACCTTATCTTCACCAGCGGCTTTTTTTTTCTGCATTCCTTCTAGGGCATTCCTTTCTTCCCCTGTCGTTACTGGCAGGATGTAGAATTCCTCTGGGCTATTATTACTTTTTACGATATCGCATTGGTTGTTTTGGCTTCTGTACAGCTCTCTGTAGCACTCCTCCCCCACCTCAACTATTCTATCTATATTGTTTATGGCATAGCCTTCCTTTACCCTAATGAATGCATTAGATTTTCGCCTATGCACAAGTTTGCTTTCGCAGCTTTTAGGCTTCTGCCGCTTTTTACAGCCTGCTTAATTCTCTCCATGTTATACCTTCTTCTGTCGGCTACCTTGCGCCTATTTAACTTCAAAAGCTGCACTAGCTCTATTTTCGGTTGCATTTGAGGTTTTCATGGTTTGTCGTCTCTTTATGATATTTTTGTCTCCTGGGATAGCTTCCAAGTGTCCTGTCTAGTGAGTGTACTTTCGACTTTCATTGCACACTCTTTGATGATACTAGTAACATTATAGTTCATTGCGTCAACACTAACATTGGTTACCTCGTTTCCCAATTACCTCGAATCTATTCTGAAGCGAAGCTATTGTTACGACGGGGTGTGTTTATTGAAGAACGAATGGCGAAGGGTAGCCGCGCCGACACCGAGCTGCTTCCAAACAGACCACTTCGTTTTTTTCTCTTCCTCTCTTCACACGTTGCCGCTTCAGCGTAACACTCTCCTTTTCCCAGACGAAGCCCCCTGGGTGAGCATCAGTCACGAGGATGAAAGTGCCTTAGCAGGCGACGTGAACAAGCTGCGTCTGCCTAGAACGGTAGCCACGAGATACGAGACGAGCGATTGAATATGTCACATCACTTAGGCGATCGACGATGACAAAAGGACCGGTGTAACAAGCCAGGAACTTCTGGTACATACCACGCTTGCGAAAGCGTGTCCATAACCATACTTTTCCTCCTTTTTCGTACACGTTCTTGTGCCGTGAATCATATGCGGACTTGGAGCAGTCTTGGGTTGCCAAAGTACGGAGGAAGCACTAGGCGACGTCCTTCCTACGCGCGGCAGAGATTCTGGACAATGGAAGAGTCCTCATGCGCATGAAAAGGCTGAATGGTGTCAAGAAAGTGGCTGAGTGGT